TATAAAATTTGAATTCAGAATCTAGAATTTTTGATCTAAAGGAGGTAGGGGAAATTAACAAAAAGTTGCATACAGTTCTCCTAGATAGACTAGTTTGTTTGTATCTCTAGCTAAAGTGATGAACTTAATGTAAACCCCTAAACTATTTTCTTTATAGTCTACTTAATTACCTGGACCAGATTGCTTGAATTTAAAAATGGGAGTTTTGTGTATCCTCATTAAGGAGTTCATAAATGTGTAAAGAATGTCTGCTATTTCCAAATGCAGCAATTTGCCAACTAATTTTTGAGTGTTTATGTATAAGTGGTGATGCTAGGTGCCAGAAAGAACCACAAGAGGAAGAGAGTAAGGTAAAAATAATTCTGCAACCCAGTTCCTCTTCTCTGGGTCTTTATGTATATTTACAGATCTAGACAACATGCAAAGGAAACAGTAGGTGCTAATAAACCTATGACCCAAGAAAAAAATTACGCATCATAGATAGTGCTTTGCAAGGGGGGAAAAAAAACGGCAGGTCAGTGTAGGAGAGAGCACTTTTAACGAATATTGAAAGACAAAGTCAAAAATATGCAAGGAGCAAAACATACTATTAGATTCCTTCAGGAGCAACTTCTCTCATAGGCTACTCCTATAATAACATATAAATACATTTTTTATAAGTAACATTTTCAGAGCGTATTTGTCCTTGAAGTCAATTCTGGGAAGACCTAAATCAAAAGCTCATCAAGTCTATGTTTCAAAGCTCAACTTGCAAGCTTTATGCGATTAGTAGGAATGGTGTTTAAAAACCTAATTTCACCTATTGCCTTGCATGTCTTGATCATTAGTAAATATTTGTGCTTATTTGAGAATAGATTGAAACTTCTTTTTGTGTCAGTGATGTTTTCCCTTAAATAGCAAAAGCATTATGTGAAGAATTTGTCTGAAATATGTACATGAACATTTGCGGCACCTGCTAAACTCTTCCTGTAGGTGCCTGCACAATAACATCTTTTTGGGTTAACAAGAAAAACTTCATTAAAAAAAAAGATTTCCAGCTGCTGCATGTGGATTGGGATACACAAAGCAGCTATAGGGTTGAGGGATAAAATGGACCATTGTAGACAGGATCCTCATCCTCAGAGTGGACCAAATAGAAGAGCAGAATTACCTGCAGAATGATTTCTGAATAGGGCCCTACCCTATCAAGGATATATATCAAGAGCATATATTACCCTGCATGTCACCATCTGGCATTTTAAAAGGAGTGTTATGTATTTCCTGTAACTGCTATTTCACCAGGGGTAGGTTGTCAGTAAGTTGACCCTTGGTTGTTCTTTGGTTAAACCCAATAGTTGGCATAGAGAAAGAGATTCCTAAAGAGGAAAGTTTGTGGCACCTGTGTTGTTGTCAAAATGAGCCCAAAGGAATGCTTAGGCTCCCCAGAGGTTTACCAGATGGCCTTCTGGAGGAAGCAATGAGAACTGGGATGAAAACACTAAAGCTTGTGAAATGGGCTCCAGAATTTAGGTACTAACAGCCTAAAATCAAGAAACAGCTATGCATATGGGAAAGACAAACTGAGAGTGGGGCAGTGTATGGTGGGAGGTGTGTTTCCAGGCTGCTCAGAATCAGGACGGACACTAGTAGGGAATATTGGCAGTTATAGTTGTATTTGTCTTTCTCCAGCAAATCAGAGAAATGAAAAGGTTGTGAGAAAGATGCTACTTCAGAAGAACAGAATGACTCATGTGAAACTTACTAAAAACAGGGAATTAAACTGGAAGTTATACATGCAAACTGAACTCTGGCTATAGATATTATGAGAGAATTCTCCCCCATAAAAGTCAGCACAAAATAATTCCTAGGCCAAGCCAGCCACTCACCCTTTCTATCAAAATAGAACAAGTCTTATTCTGAGGAAGAGTGAAGAGAAAGAACTTCATCATGGGGACAACGAGGTAAATAAATTAGAGCACTGGATAGGTAGTAGCTACGGAAGGCTCAGAATCATCTCTGAAAATTATCTACTGCAGGAAACTAAAGAAAACTTGAGAGCAGTTTGATTTTTAAGCAAAATTAAGAATCATGACATTACAGGAAGGGCAATAATCATAGAGAAGGCTTGGCGGACATGAAAAGTCAGCAGGTTAATTTCCAGCCAACATGTCTGACTGAGCTAGAGCAGAAAGATGCCCTTTGTAGGTCTAAACACGTGGAAATACTGAATAAAATAACTCAAAATTTTTTTTATTTCAACAATTTTTAATTTAGCTGAAAACTAAGAGAAAGAAATGTCTAGGAAAGAGAAGCAAAACAGGAAATTGAAGTCCCAGGGGTGAGCATGACAGAAACAGAGAGGATTCATTGGAGTATTAGAATGGAGAATAAGCCTTAATAGGTGGGGCTGGGATTCTGACATCTACATCCCCACAGGTTCACACAGTGTGGGGTTGAGAGTCACACAACATTCATATTCATAGTTAGCTGTGACTACCTGTACACTGCTGGAAATAAAGATGGGCTGTCCCATTTCTGAAATGGAACTATAAACATTTTCCTCCCAACTGGCTTAGTGGTGGGAGCAAGGATGCTTGCCATCCATAAGGAATTGTATGTTGATAAAGAATCATTGATGAGGGCCGGCCCCGTGGCTTAGCAGTTAAGTGCGCGTGTTCCGCTACTGGCAGCCCGGGTTTGGATCCCAGGCGCGCACTGACGCACCGCTTCTCCGGCCATGCTGAGGCCGCGTCCCACATACAGCAACTAGAAGGATGTGCAACTATGACATACAACTATCTACTGGGGCTTTGGGAAAAAAAAAAGGAGGAGGATTGGCAATAGATGTTAGCTCAGAGCCGGTCTTCCTCAGCAAAAAGAGGAGGATTAGCATGGATGTTAGCTCAGGGCTGATCTTCCTCACAAAAAAACAAGAAAAGAATCATTGATGAGAAATTCAGGTCCCAGAATTGTGCTATCCATCGATATGGATTTGGATTTTCAGCTGTCTCAGTGAAATAGGAAATCTAAGCTTAAAAATTAACATACAGCTTGTCTGGTACCCTAGCTATAGATGAGGCCAGGCACAGACACACAGAACATCACCAGGTAGCTATGCTTTCACAGTCCTGGTGCACGGGTTCACACTAAAAGCAATCCCTGCCAAAGATTAGCTCACAGGCAAAAGTTACAGACATCAGAATAAAAAACAAAAACAAAAACGAATCACTATGAAGGACAGACAGCAGACCCAATAAATTGGATAGACTTGTATCCTAAGAACAAGAGAAAAGAGAGCAAACTGAAAAAAAGATGTTAAGTGTAAAGGATAGAATTCATATGGCAAGAATAGGAGAGCATGTTTTTAAAAAAAGTTACTTTAAAAATGTTCATGATATAAATTCTACAAATGACATAATGAAACACACACACACACACTCACACACAAAGTTATAAAAGGCAAAGAAAGATGGTCCAGAGGAAGTGTGTCAGATTGGAGAAGACCAAGGAGACATGACAACTAAATCCAATGTGGGACTCTGGATTGAGTTCTGAACCAGAAAAAGGATATTTGTGGGAAAACTCAAAAGATTCGTATGAAGTCTATGAAGTAGTTCACTATTGCATCAGTGTTAGCTTCCTGGTTTCGATGATAATTGTAGGATAGTTATGAAAGATGCTAACCTTGGGGGAAGCTCAGGGAAGGGTGTATCGGAGCTCCGTGTACTATTTTTTCAACTTTTTTTCTAACTCTAAAATTATTTCTAAGTAATTAAAAAAAAAAAAAAAAAGAATCAGGGTAGGTGCAGGAGAAGTTGGAGAGACAGGCCGAGGCTGGACTTCAGAGAGCCTTCTCCTCCAATCTCATGACTGCACATTTCCCAGGGCAACTCCAGCGGTGGCAGGAGCCCAGCCTGGAAGAGAGATGGAATCTGCGCTTGGCAAGCGCCCCCTGGAGGCGGAGGGGAGCTGCTGCGGGGACGGAGACGGGAGGAGTAAGCTGCAGGAAGGCAGGAGTCTTCCAGACGGGGAAACAGGCCTCGGTTGTCCCTTCAGCGTAGGGGCACAAGAGGTGGACGATTTTCGGGGCCAGCTGCTCTTGTAACCGCTGCCCAGGTCTGCGCGGCCGGGGGCGGGGAGCCTCGAGGCGGCCTTCGGGGTTGGAGGCCAGGGCGCGCGGGCGGCAGGAGGGGCGCCGCGGACGTTGGCGCCCCAGCCCTGCGCGGGCCGTCCCGCAGCAAAGCGCAGCGGGGCCCGGCCACCCTCGGCCCGGCCTGCCCGGCGCCCCGGGTACTCGGACGTGGCGGAGCTCACCCCGCAACGGCCACGGGCCTCGCTCGGCAAGGGGGCTGACTTAGCTCCTTGGGGTTGTTCGTTCCTGTTCTTCAAACGTCCCGTCTAGCTTAGAGGAGGATCTGTTCTGTGTAAGGCTTGTTGGAGACTCCAACACTCTTTGCTGGGTTGTAGTCTTGTTGTCGCGGTCACTCCGTTTCGTACTAGCGTCTGCTCTCACACAGCAGCCAGACCCACACTCTAAACGTCCTTGACACCATTGAATAGGGCATTGGGCCTCCCTGACTTAACAGCTGTGGAAAGTTTATGTTGTGCCCCAGAATATACTCGTGGCCTTGGTTTAAAAATTGAATTTCCTTGGAGAGGGACCCAAGAGAGAGATCCATGAGCATGTTCATAGACAGTTAACACGTGTGGGAATGAAAATAGAGAGAACGCTGCATAATAGTTCAGGAAAACAAACACAACTATTTTAAGAAACTGTCTCCTAACGGTCTTACCTTGCTTGAGGATTATTGGGAGAGTAAGACAGTGGCTGCTGTAAGCATTTAGCATAGAGCCTTCAGTAACATGGGCTCCTCTCTCTCCAGAAAAGGAGAGAGTGCATAACCCAATGTTGCCGAAGGAAAATTTCTACAGTCCGTTAAAATGCTGCTTAAATGCGTAAAGAGAAGAATATTATTTAAATTTCCTCTTAAATTTTTTCTATTCTTCTCTTTTTCATGTGCTAGTGGCTAAATGGCAAGCAAAAAGCGAGAAATCCAGTTACAGGTGGGCATGACACATCAACAGTTCTTCATTCAGTGCGTTGACACTTGAAGATCTTTTACAGCGCCTTCCTTTTTGCAGGCAGTCATCAACAGTCAAAGCCTGTGGGATGAGATGTTGCAGAACAAAGGCCTGACAGGTACTGGGGCTCCCCGTTGTCCAGCCATCCAGAGTTCCGGCCAGGGCACCCATGGCCCCCAACACAGGGCATGACTCCCTGCTTCCAGCATAAACCCTGCTACATCTTGACGCTTGGCCCTGCCCCAGCATTGGGATAAGCTGCTGTTCCAGATTCTTTGACTCTGTCCTTTCATAAATATTATCATCTTCTAGTGATTGATGTTTACCAAGCCTGGTGTGGACCTTGCAAAGCAATGCAAACTTTATTCAGAAAATTGAAAAATGAGCTAAACGAGGATGAAATTCTGCATTTTGTTGTAGTAAGGATTTTATTTCCATTAAAACTATTATTTTCTTGTTACTTTAAGTGTTTAAGTATTCTCTTTAACGATTGTCTTAATTTAAACAACCTGTCAACTCTTCAAAGTAGACAATGTTTACTTGGCAGTTTTATTATATATTTAGTTCTATGGGATCTGAGAATGAACATCATTTTTATCCCATTCCTATAATGTTGAGGTTATTTACCATGGTTGTGAATATTAGAAAAGTATACAAATGGATATCTGTCTGTTGACCTGTTTCTTTTCACCTGATCATGTGTTCAGCGTGTGTCTCTCAGAATAAGGGCAGCAAATGCTGTTTACTGGACAGTGTTGGTAGGACTCTGGGCATTTACCCAGTTACCAATCTTCCAATGGTAGTGATTTTCCCCTTACTTACTTACCACCCAGATGTGACAAGCGATTAAAATATTGCAGCCAAACTCATTGGACTTCATTGCATTGGTTATTCAGTTTATCCACCTCAAGTTATCAACTGCTTAGAGCTTTGTTGTTTAACATGGTGGCCACTAGGCAGGAGTGGCTTTTGAGCACCTGAAATGTGGCTAGTGTGACTGAGGAACTGAATTTTTAATGTTAATTAATTTAAATTTAAATTTAAAAACTAATAATTCAGAAATTGTAAAACTTTTAAAGTTGTTTGGGACAACTTGGGTATGTGAATCTACTTTTTTGACCATAAATTTTATGAAATCTAATTAAAGATCAATTGTTTCTGATGAAAATGTAGCCTACAAATTGAGATAGACTTTAAAGGTAAAATATACACTAGATTTGGAAGACTTGTATGAAAAAAAGAACGTGAAATATCTCATTAACAATTTTTTACGTTGGTAATGTTGAAATGATCATATTTTGGATACATTGGATTAAGTAAAATATATTATTACATTATTTTCACTTGTTTCTTTTTAGTTTTTAAATGTGGTTACTAGAGAATTTAAAAATGTATACATGGCTCACATTCTACTTCTCTTGGACAGAAATACATCCAAACCAGCTAGACCTAAGATGCAGAAGCAAATAACTGATTACATGCCTTTACTCCTTATACCTAAAATGCATAGTCCCTGATGCAAACATGAAACCTCAACCCACTGCATGTTCTCATGTGTCCAGGCCTTCTGTGACCTTCCCAGCCCAGACCTTGGGATGAGTTTGCTTACTGACCTTAACTTGGGTTTGACTGTCCATCCCCTTCTGCAGATACACTCTTTATAGGATTTCTTTTTCATAGTTAAAGGATACAAATAAGCACTCTAAAGCTTAGAAACTCACCTTTTAATATTTTTTCTCTTCAAGAGAGTAAGTGGCTATGTATAATTGTTAAATCTTTTTGTCCGGAGGTTGACATTGTCTTCCGAAATAAGGGTCTTGTAGTTTCTTAAAGGGCAGCATTCCAGAACAGCCTTCTTCACTCTGAGGGGTCAGAACCACCTACATGGAGCTGAAATGTGATTCGAGATTTGATTCTTGGCAGGGAGGAAAAACTAAGTTCAGGAGACAGAGAATGGGGCCTAAAGGAGATTTCCACATGCAGTGGACAAGGGGTTGGTGGAAGAAGTAAAAAAAGACAATACCAGAAGGATCTAACAGCTGGCAAATGGATCACGGAGAATTAAGGGTCGGAAAATTCTTTGCATCCTGACAGTTGGCATTAGGGAAGCTTGTCTGGAAGTGGTAGGATGCACATTCATGGGCTAGGGCCCATGGGAATACCCCAGTGTCTAAAAGGAAATTGAGTTCAATGGGGAGAGACTGACAAGGCAGGCTCCCTGCTCACCTGTCTGGCTACCTGGAAGGGGACTTGGGCATAAGAGAGCAAGGCAAGAAGTCCTTAGACTCTGAGAAAGTGTGACTTGATGCTGTGTTCCTAGATGGTTTAGAGTCATTAAATATCTCCTTGTTTATAGAGTCTGGCTAGAAACAAACCTGGGTGTGTGTGTGGGTTGGCACAGTGGTAGAGGCTGAGGTATGGAAGGAGAATTAGACCCCATAGTTTGTTGGGCTTCCATGTCAGCATGGCTCAGAGCTGTGTGAAGATACAGGTCTTAACAGCGCTTCCCCCCAACCCCAGAGGCTTCTGACTGTGTCCTCCTCAACCTACTCCACAAGGAGTCAATTCTATTACTATATTTATCCCACTGAGAAGTGCTAGTAAAGTCTTTCCAAAATATATGTCCTATTCATAATACTAGCATTTGTTGAATTGAACAACAAAAAAATTTGAGCATTGTCCCTTAGTGGTTTCTCTTGTGTTATTTTTGAGCACGCTCAACAATAGAACATTCACATAGACTGATGCTGTTTTTCTGCTATGACCTGCTCAGAAAGGGTGAAAAAAATTGTCTCCAAACCTCCTTTGGGAGCAATGGAGGGGCGCCCTCTGCTGGATATTTTGCTACCTGCAGTTAACCAAGGAGAGGGATCCTTGTTGAACTTGTTAATTCAAGTCCAAAATTAAAACCTATGAAATTGATTACTTATTGAAATCCTCCTAAGCTGAATGGTCAGTATAAAATTTCTTCTGTTATATTCTCTTTTAAAATACATGAAGACTTGTACTAACATTGTATCTATACACATAAAAATTCAGTAAATGTTATTTTAGTTCTTTTATTATTAAATGCTTTAATTAATACTTTATTAGAATATAAGCCTTGTAACTATGATACCTAAACTACTTTTAAATATCATCTTTGACTTCTGTCCTTTAATATTATAGATTTGTTCTTGTCAGCCTCTTCCTTTTTTTTTTTGAAAGCAGTAGAAACTTACAAGAAGGAAAATGATGTAGAATCCACTGTGTTAAAAAAAGATTATAACACAACCCCTCCAGCTGACACAGGCTGAAGGACCTTCGCTTAACTTCTTCACAGGGCTTGAGGAACCTCCAGAAATCCCAGTTTTGTTTTTTTTTTTTTTGTGAGGAAGATCAGCCCTGAGCTAACATCCGTGCCAATCCTCCTCTTTTTGCTGAGGAAGACCGGCTCTGAGCTAACATCTATTGCCAATCCTCCTCCTTTTTTTTTCCCCCAAAGCCCCAGTAGATAGTTGTATGTCATAGTTGCACATCCTTCTAGTTGCTGTACGTGGGACGCCGCCTCAGCATGGGCGGAGAAGCGGTGCGTCGGTGCACGCCGGGGATCCGAACCCGGGCCGCCAGTAGCGGAGTGCCCGCACTTACCCACTAAGCCACGGGGCCGGCCCCAGAAATCCCAGTTTAAACAATCGCTTTAGGTTGCAAAAACCAACTCTTAGAGAAGACCCTACCAACCATCTCATTCTGACAGGTGGCCTGAAGGATGTGTTAGGACAACTTGAAATTTGTGAGAAAACGTTAAGAAAATTAGAAACATAAAAATCAAAGACTTTGACATTTGACAAGCCGTTCATTCAAGAAGCGTTTGATCAGCTCCTTCTTATGTGTGGCCCTGTGGTTGATGCACGAAGAGGGGTGACATGCAGAGGGGAATATGCAGCATCATCTCTCTGTGCACAGAGCTCTCCTTCTCACAAAGGAGATGACACAGGCCAGTGTAACAGTGGTACAATGTTGAGAGGGACAGCAGGCGCCCTGGGAGAGGTGCAGTAAGGGCTCTGTGGAGCGCAATATGATTTGCAGCAGGAGGGAGCAAGACAGACTTCTTGGAGGGAGGACCCTTGAGCTGGGTTGGAAAAGGAAGGGCAAGAACAGGTAACAAGGAAGGAAAGAGTGGGTTGTGGTAGCAAACTACAAGGAGATGGATTTGGCTGCAGATTGGGTACCACGAAGGAGAACTGTGAGAAGTAAGGTTGAGGCCAAATGATGCAGGGCCTGAATTGCCAGTAGATGCAATTTGGTCCTTAAAACTATACATACTCAGAAAACGTTGTAGTCAACATAAAAATAAAAATTACGTATCTCTGTGTTTTTTGAACATAGTGTATCAAATAACTTGGATATACTTTCCTTTATTATTATATGAAATATTTATGTTTTTTTCAGGCAGAAGCTGACAGCATTGTGACTTTGCAGCCATTTAGAGATAAATGTGAACCTGTTTTTCTCTTTAGTCTTGTAAGTATAATATTTATCATCTCAAATGTATTATCAGATTCCAATTTACAGTTGAAGAGCAAGTAGTATTGTAAAATTACCATGGAACTTTTCTGAGAATAGTAATTGTAGAATTTTTTGCCTTATCTTTGCTTGTCTGTTAATATATTTTGTAACTTGACTTCTAGGAGCTCATGATGGGTTGAGAGTAGACTACCACATAGTGAGCTGATCAGGGGAAAGAAAAATGAGATGGTATTTACCTTTCCTAAGGACATAATCAGAGATTTTATGATGAATTATTATTTACAGGACTGAAAAATTGGAAATTTCTTAGATACTCAGTAGGAGAGAATTGGTTATAAATAGCATGCATACCAATATAAGGAAATATCTGTCTGATCACTATTTTGCAATATCTATTGCTTTTATCTCTGTATTTACAAATACCTAGAAGGAAGGCATGAAGACTATTCATCAAATTGTTAATAGTAGTTTTCTATGTGTGGGGGAAGGATGCATAATTTATGCTTTCTTCTTTATACTTTTCTATCATTTCCAAATATTCTGTGAAGAGCATACAACTTTAATAATCAGAAAAGCATAATAAGTGTATTTTCTAAAAGGAAAGTATACAGTTCGATGCTGACTTGTATGACACAGGGTATAGCTCCTGCAGAGCTAGAGATTTGGGATGGGAAGGAAAGGCTTCATGGAGAGGGATTGGGCTGTTCGTCTACTGCTGGATACTTTGATTATCATTTTTGGTATTAGAGATAATTATTAAAAAGTACTTCTTGGATATACCTTTTTGATTCTGTTAAACAATACTCTTGCAACTATTTCAAAGGATTGAATTACTGGGTTCCTTGAATTAAAAAAATTGCATTACAGATCTTGCTCTAAGTTGGATATGTAGGATTTGATGGTTTAGATGAGTAGTCAGCTAGCTTTTTCTGTAAAGGGCCAGATAATAAGTATATTCAGCCTTGTGAAAATGTAGTCTCTGTGTTGGGTCATAGTTTGCTGACCCCTGACCTAGACGTAGTTTAGGGAACCAGAATGAGTAACTGAGCAGGGGCAGAAGTGGGCTTCGTGGGCTAATGGAACAATGAGGAGACTTCAGCAGCAGTAGCAGTTAGGAGCATGGAACTGAGGAAGGAACACTGGGGAGGTGGACCACCGTGTGGAGTCTGGAGCTCTGGGACAGCCACCACCCTGCCGAGTTATCAGGTCTGATCAGCAGACCCATGCCCATCCTCCTTAAATGGACCATCTGCCTCATTTGCTGAATACATCTTAATTTATCCAGTTTCCCAACAGAAACAGAAGTCATCTTAGTGACTTCTCTTTACGTCACGCCCAATCCACACCAGACCTTGGACCTGTCAATTTCTCTCACCCAAGTCTTTCTCTCTCTTCTTTCCATTGTTCCCATCTCCATCACCACTGCCATAGGCTGAGTGACCATCTCTCTCATCTTCACCTCTAGAATAGCTCCCAGTTTGTATACAAACATCTTCTCCTTCTTCGGTTGAACCCTTTCTCCACATGGTAGGTGAAATGATCTTTACAAACAACAGTTCTAATTGTGGTCGCTGCTCTGGTTAAACATTCCAAAGTCTTCCCACTGCACTTAGGATACAGGCTGCATCTTTCCGTGGCTCACAAGGCTCTGCAGGGTCTGGCTCCGCCTAGCTGTTGAGTTTCATCTCATACCAGGCATCCTTTCACTGTCTCCGCGGTCTTCTTATCTGCCATATTCCCTTCCAGCCTTAGGACCCTTGCATCTCTATTCCTTTTGCCTAGAATGCTCTTTCTTCTCAATTTTGTCTAGTGATCTCTTACTCATCTTTCAATTTTATTTTTTTTTTTGGTGAGGACACTGAGCTAACCTTCATTGCCAATCTTCCTATTTTTTTTTTTTGGCTTGAGGAAGATTAGCCCTGAGCTAACATCTGTTCCAGTCTTCCTCTATCTTGCATGTGGGACGCCTCCACAGCATGGCTGGTGAGTGGAGGAGGTCCACACCCAGGATCCGAACCCAGAAACCCAGGCCGCTGAAGCAGAGTGTGTGGAACTTGAACCACTTGGCCATGGGGCTGGCCCCTTAGCCTTCATATTTTAAACCAAGAATCCCTTCCTGATGTTGATAAGTACCTTTGTTGATCTCCTTGACCAGGACAAACTCTTGTAGATGTTCCCAACGCTGTGTACCTCCCTTGGTGGTATCTGTCATGGTTGTTATTTCACATGTATCTGTTTGTGGGTTTTTTTTGTAATTTAATTAGGTCAGGTACCAGGTCTATTATTCCATACCATCATGCCTAGTACTGTGCCAGTAAACAGGTTTTAGTAAATATGTGTTGAAAGATGGACAAAGAGGGCATAGTAGCAAAAATACTTAGGGAAGGTAAATTTGGGAGGCCTATACAGAACCACTGGAATGTCACGCAGAGATGCCTTGCCTTTGGTCATAGGAGGACAGACAAATTGGAGGTGGAACTCAGAGAGCTGTGTTGACCAAACTGAGACCTACTTCACATCACCAATACCTTATTTTAAATTGGATAATTACAGTAGCTAAGAAAGGATTGGTGTGGGTGTGGGGCAGGGTGGGATGACAGTCCAGTTGAAATGTGAATTCTTGAATTATCCTGAAAATGAAAGTTTCCTTCATGTCTTCTTTTCCCTTATAGAATGGCAAAATTGTTGCAATGATTAAGGGTGCAAATGTACCACTTGTTAATCAAAAAATTATCAACTTGATCAATGAGGAGAGGAAAATTGCAGCAGGTGAAATGGTTCGCCCTCAGGTAATACTTTGGATTACTGATTATTTTATTTTTAAGAAATGCATTGTGTCTTTTTTGTTGTTCTCCTTAAGGTATTTTCCTAATTTTATAACTCTCTAAGTGTCTAAGTGGTGCAACCTTTCTGGAAAGTATTTTGACAACATGAATCACAGGCCTTAAAAAGACATGTATCCTTTGACTGAGCAATTACGCACCAGTAATTTTCCCTAAGAAAATAATGAGACAAATGCAAAAAAAAGATGCTTATTGCAGTGTTGTCTATATTATTAAAAATTTGGAATCAACCTAAATACCTAGCAACAGTGACTAGATTACATAAAATGTCTGTAATTTATGTCATAAATTATATAAATCCGTACAGTGGAATATTATTTAGTGTGTTCTAGCTCTGTATTTATTGATATGGAAAGAGGGCCAAGATAGATTGATGAATGAAAAAAAAAGAGTACACTTTAATAGGATACTTAGAGTAAGATCCTGTGTATGTGTGTGGTGTATTACCTGTGTAATGTTATTATTACCTAAGTAATAAGAAAGAAAATATTTTAAAATTAAGAAATGAACCATAAAGCATTTGGAGGTATGAACGTAATAGTATAAGAAAGTAAGCCACATAGTAATCAGAAATACAGGCAGATAAACAGGAGCAACTGGTGTTATTGAAACACACACATGTGCACGCACACACAAAACAAACAACAACAAAAAAAGGGAAAGTATGACTTTAAGAAACAAAAAGTAGAGACTAGCCAAGAAATATTGAAAAAAGAGAAATAATTAGATGGTATAGGCTCAAGCCTGTATAAGTATTTGCCATAATACCCATAAAGGGTCAATTTAAATCAGGAAAGGATAAAAAATTCAATAAACAGGCTTAGGAACATTGGTTTAACTATTTGTATAAGAGAGTTGTATCATGTCCTCATATGACATACATAAATAAATTACAGATGAATTAAGGAGCTGAATGTGAAGAAACAGAGCATAAAAGTATTAGAAGAAAACACTGGCAAACATTTATGTTTTCATAGGTTGGGGAAGGCCTTGTAAGCATAACACAAAAAGGAGATATCAAAAAAGGAAAAATTGATAGATTTGGTAATTTAAAACTTTGAAGTGCCCCCTAAAATGTAAAAAGAAAGCAGAAAACTTGGAGAAATGCTCGCACTGTGTCGCTGTGCTGATACCCATGGTGTGTACCAAGCACTTTATGAGCATTAGGAAAAAGAACATTTTGACAGAAAACTGACAAATGACAAATATGGAGAATTTACATTTGTAATAGTGATTTTTCTCATCCAAGGACATTTTTCTTTACATTTTCAGGTTTTCTTGTTTTTCAGGGAATTTTCTCCCTTCCTTTCTATCTGTCTCTCTCCATCCCTCTTTCCACTTCCCCTACTTGTTTTTGAAAATTATAATAGCCAGGAATTATTGAAAACTTACTGTTTGCTAAGATTTTCAAACAGATATCCTCATTTAATCCTTACAGAAATCCTCCTCCCCCGGTTTTATCGAGATATAATTGGTAAATAACATGGTATTAGTTTAAGGTGTTCAACATAATGATTTGACATGTGTGTATATTGTGAAATGATTACCACACTAAATTTAGTAAATACCTGTCACCTCGCATAGGTAAAATTTTCTTCTGGTAATGAGAACTTTTAAGATCTACTGTCTTAGCAACTTTGAAATATACAATACAGTATTATTACATGTAGTCCTCATGCTGTATATTACACCTCCAGAACTTATTTATCTTATAACTAGAAGTTTGTACCTTTTGAACACCTTTACCCAATTCCCCCACTCTGCTTTCTCCACCTTTGGCAACCACCATTCTGTTTTCTGTATCTAGGAGTTCAGTTTTTTTAGATTCCACACATAAGTAATATCATACAGTGTTTGTCTTTCTCTGTCTGACTTATTTCACTTAGCATAATGCCCTTGAAGTCTATCCATGTTGTCACTAATGGCAAGATTTCCTTCTTTTTTATGGATGAATAATATTCCATTGTATATGTATACCACATGTTCTTTATCCATTCATCCATTGACGGACGTTTAGGTTGTTTCCATATCATGGCTGTTGTAAATAATGCTGCAGTGAACATGAGGGTGCAGACACTTTTCGAGATAGTGATTTCATAGTTGGTCGTAGTAGTCTCTGAAGATCCTTTTTATTTCTGGTATCTGTTGTAAAGTTTCCTCTTTCATTCCCAGTTTTATTCATTTGAGTCCTCTCTCTGTTTTTCTTCAGAGTCTAGCTAACAGTTTGTCTGTTTTGCTCATTTTTTCAAAAAGCCAGCTCTTAGTTTCATTAATTTTTTCTATTGTCTTTTTAGTCTCTATTTGATTTATTTCTGCTCTGATCTTTGTTATTTCCTTCATCTACTAACTTTGGCTTCATTTGTTCTTCTTTTTCTAGTTTCTTGAAATATAAAGTTAGGTTGTTTATTTGAGATCTTTCTTTGTTCTTTTTTGTGTGTGTGTGTGTGAGGAAGATCAGCCCTGAGCTAACGTCTGTCGCCAATCCTCCTCTTTTTTTGCTGAGGAAGACTGGCCCTGGGCTAACATCCATGCCCATCTTCCTCCACTTTATATGGGATGTCGCCACAGCATGGCTTGCCAAGCGGTGCGTCGGTGCATGCCCGGGATCCGAACTGGCAAACCCTGGGCCACCGCAGCGGAGCATGCGCACCCAACCACCTGTGCTGCCAGGCCGGCCCCTCTTTGTTCTTAATGTAGGCATTTATTGCTATCAACTTCCCTCTTAGAATTCTTTTGTTGCATCTCATAAGTTTTGGTATGTTGTATTTCCATTTTCATTTGTCTCAGGGTATTTTTTGATTTCTCTTTTGATTTCTTCTTTGACCCATTGGTTGTTCAGTAGCATATTGTTTAATCTCCATATATTTGTGAATTTTCTAATTTTCTTCTTGGTAGTTGATTTCTAGTTTCATACCATTGTGGTCAGAAAAGATGCTTAATTTGGCCTAACATATGATCTGTCCTGGAGATTGTTCCATGTGCACTGAGAAGAATGTGTATTCTGCTGCTTTTGGATGGAATATTCTGTAAATGTCTGTTAAGTCCATCAGGTCTAATATGTAGTTTCAGTCCAGTGTTTCCTTATTGATTTTCTGTCTGGGTGGTTTATCAATTGCTGGTTCTGCTGAACCCGTGAACATTATCCCTGCTGGCTGCCAGAGCCAAGCTATCAAGAGATATGTCCTCTGGCCAGCAGCCACAAGAGCCAGGGTGCCGGATATGCGCTCAGTCTATCTTCTCGTGGACACCGGTGACTTGGAGCCAGGCAGGGGGAGAGCGCAAAGATGGTGCCTGACAGCCTCTCTGGTTTCTGGAAAAGATTGCAGTTGGCCCCTAGATGTGCGTCAAACTAGAAGCCTGACCCTCAGGCTGCAGCCCCCAAGACATGCAAATAGGATTCCCTCAGAGAATAGGAGTTGGGTGCCTCTGGCCCATGCCTCTCTGCTGTGCCCTGAGGAGGGTAGCCAGTCAAGAACTGTTTCATTGTTTGCGACAGTCCTGTGAGATCTGTGAATGCAAGATCTGCTGGCCACCAGAGCCAGGCGACCAAGAGGTTCATCCGCTGGGCAGCAGCTGCAAAAGCTGTGGTGCCAGACATGTGCAGCAGGTCCCTCCAGGGAGCTACCGGCCACCTGGAGCAGGGCACTGTGGTGCCAGACATGTGCAGCAGGTCCCTC